CGTTTCCGTCTGGGTGTTACTAACTTCATGGGCAGGGTATGAGCCCAGCAATTTTATATTGCTGAAATATTATTTACCCTTTTTTCTATAATATACAATAAATTTATCTATCGATCACACTTAACAACATGCAACGGACATACCAATATGTACATATAGTATACATTTTAATTATGACTTCTCTCATTCTGGGAATAACATTTTCTTTGTACAAATGTGTGTAATTAGTAGCAACACAAACTTATATGAATACATTTTAATGTAATTACTATCAGAATGAAATATTACTAAGAAAAAAATGGGTTTGAATCATATTTTTGCAACAAACATTAAACAACAAACTCTTTACAACATTAAACGTTTCAAAAACTTCTTGGAATATATTAATATGTAATGTAATAGAAAACAGACACTAAACAACATGAATACCTAAATTTGCTTATTTATTGTTACAATTTTAATTAAACAACCGGTATTTAGAAGAGAAAACTATAGCAGAATTTAGCAAAGTCAAAGTCACTGAATAAATTAATATGTGTATTTGTATTCCTCGTACATCTTTTGAAGTGTAAAAAGATATTTTTTGTGTACCACAACAGCTGATTAGCAGATAGTCTTGTCACGTCAATGGCACAAGTACAATAAGAAGAGGTGGAAAAGAACAAATATTGAAATGAGAGAAGAGCAGTTACCTTTATTAACATACATATATGTACATACTTATATATATATATTTTAAAGTGTCAAATAATAAAAAAAAAATGCTTTTTAGTTGCATTTAACAACAATAATCAATAATCTTTACGCCGTTGCATATAAAGAAAATCAATAAGAAGTACTATTTATGTTTATACATAAAGCCATTAGTCATTAAATATGGAATCACTCTGTTATTTATTTATTTTGCTCTTATCTATTCTCCATTTTTCTTTATTTATTAAAGCACAACAGTACCTACGTTTATACATAGACTTGTGGGTTAAATTTCATATAAACTTATGCCTCACCAGGGCAAAAGATTCGATTTCTAGGCGATCTAAAAAATAAACTTTCAGATAAGGAAAGAGAATTTGAAACGTAGACATTATCAAGGCAGAGATCATAACAAATAATRCGCGGTTATTTGACCTTATTTTGGCACGATTTTATTAGACTACTTTATGTATGTACATAGTATATATGCTTATTTGTTAATATATTTTTTTAGAAAATCGGCATATCGAATTTTGTTGTGAAATTCAAATAAAAGTTTATATTTTGTTTATAAACAGTGTTGACACAATAAAAATGAGTATAGCAATATTCTTTCGGTCGTGTTTCGCGGCGATTTCATAGTTCCATAATTCGCTTGTGACAATAAGATTGAATTCCGTTATTTGTTTACAATTGTCAGTTATTTATTTCTTTGGTTTTCTCTRCATTGAATTTCTATAGAAATATTTATCTAAAACCAGTATGATCCGATATTTTATTCGCTGCTCAAAACGCACAATAACCAAGGGGCTTTGTTAAAATCAGAGATAAAACGATGCGCAACTCTCCTGTCACTAGGTTAAACTTATATGACAAAATATCACTACAACTCGACGAACCAAGATCTGATGCATTCAGCGTATATTAGCATAGGCAATATTGATAGATTGAAATACTGTACTATTCGTCACATGACGCAATCTTAACTAATATCAACTAATAGCTTCACTTTACCTGAGACATATTTGCAAAAATAACTATATATTCATATGTACTTACATACAGCGAAAAACATATATATTTGAATAATTACCTCTTTTCGTTTGTTATTTCTCTTTTCCCAATCGGCCAATTTTTGTGAGCACAGTATTACTGCTATTTATGGCAATTGTCTTCGGCCTGTTGCTCGCCGTGCACGCAACTTTGTAGTTTAAAAATATTTACTTTAATCAATTCTTCTCACTWACATTAATTACTTTCCTTCAAATACATAAAGGTTTAACAATTTAAATACTTTACAAAACTCAACTAGTCTGTATGGCTTGCGAATGGCTAATAATTTTCTCGGTTCCGCTTGCAGCTGAATTTATTCGTCCACAGTTCGTTTTTCTGTTTTCTGCATCCATTTTGTTTACAGTTTCGTTGATTTGTTGTTGCGCTACGCTAAGTGATTTTTTTTGCAGTTCATTCTTTGTTTTGTTGTTTGTCGAGTCATCTGTTGTTGCACAAGCACAGAGGTGTTAGCGCTTGACAGTGTTCAAACTTTTAATTCACCACGCTTTCATGTTGAATTTGACATGCATGTGATAGAAAACATGTACAGTTKACATCTGTAAAGTGAAATTTGTTACAACTCAGCACAAATCACTTGATACTCTACTGATCTATACAGTAAACATAGTGATATCATTCGAAACTATCACCAATAGTACGAAATAAAAAAAGAAAATCGGTTGTATTTTTCGTATTTCATAGTCCATACTCTTAAATATAACGAACAAAAATTTTGAGTGAATATTTTAAATATTTTTGGAGTTACAGCATTTTAAATTACAATTTAGATTTTAATGCAGTTTTCTTTAAACAGCCGTTTTCGATTTTGCTGCATTTATTGCTCGCAAGCAATTGATGCGATCAATAGCAAATTTGCATGCTCTTTTAATAGATCTTTTTGTAATGCCCTACCAGTTTTTTGTTCGGATGCAATTCTTTTTCGACCGTTGGTCCTTATACAAACAATATATTTTAGATTAAAGAGTAGTTGTGTACGTTTCATTCACGGTGAAGGYCGGAAGCAGTGAAGGGAAGGAGGACCATTTTTTACGTTATCTCGAAAAATGTTTGAATATTTTCTTAAACTTTTTTTTGCGATCATTACCGGAATTCATCTAACATATTTTGTTATTTTTTCTTATTTTTCTTTGCGCCAAACACCTTTTTTCGTTTTTTCCGGAATTTWTTAAAGAATAATGACTGCTTTACGCCTATTCTGTGACAAGTGCAATCAAATTCCCCAGCAAAAATTTTTTCAACTTTCTTTAAGTAACATAAAAATCTTTGAGGTAGYTTAATTWAATTGCACCTGTCAATATGCCTTTCCTGGGTAAAGAAGTATTCAACGAAAATCTTATCTCCTAAGGAGATTAAGGATGAGAGCAAGTGTGTATCCTAAATATTTTTAAATATAAATAGCTAATAAAATATGCAAATACATTATCTTTAAAAACATCTACGTCAACATCATCTACCTCGAAGTTGCTGTCTAATCCTAAGCTATTGAACGAATTTTCAGGTCGTGRAAGTCCTTGGAACTCTTGCCACGATAAGTTCTGCATTATTTTTTAAATAAATTGCAGAACATGTAAAGTGTATCCTTACACATCTACCACCGTCTATTCTTATTTGTTCAAAATAATTTTCAAGATTGTCCTGACATAACCGTCTCGTCTGTACATGTTGAAAACCTGAGCGTGGTAAGAATAGCCACAATCGGTTTAAACTACAAGTATTTATATTAARGATCCAACCCSTAAGGTAGTTGAAAGGTGACGTYATGTCAGCCCCGGTGTCATCGTTAACCCTAATCGTCTTTAAAAGTTTAAGAGCTTCGTCTAAAAATTGCAATTGTTCGGGTGTTGCCGAAAAAACTTTTTTGTTAGGCAAAATAGCTTCAAAATGACTAATATTAAATATGTCAAGTAATTTGTAAATAAATAAAATATAATCCACCGTATTATAAAAAGTATTCGTAGGACAAGTCAAATGACCGGAMCTATAAATGGATAACRTTCCGGAAGMGACTGTGTCACTGAACACYTGACTAGCAAGTTTGTCACTAGTTTTTTGAAAATTATTTGGCGCAACATGAGCAACTGCAAGTTTCGGTGCACAGTGAATGTGATTTTGGTTTGGTTTTGTTACAGAAGTGCACGATATCGGACCAACTTATCGGACGGAATTTAAAACTTACTTTATTTTTACAATTTTCGAGACAATTTGTAGTATTTTTTAAAAGTTGGGAACAATCGTTAAAAACGTATACCTCTTYGCCATTTACKTTAAAGTATGTGCGCAAAAATTAATTTTGTTTTAAATCGAAAACAAAAAGTGTCGAGCCAACATCGGAATKAAGAATTATAAATTGAGTACTTAGGGATATTTGGGATTAAAAATTTAATGAAATTTAATTTTTTTTAATTCAATAGTAAAATTTAAACATTTTTTTTAATTCTAAAATCAAAATTATAAATTAATTATAATTCGTTTAAATGTGTAAGTTTGCAGACTAATTCTTTAGAGTATTGAAACTGGTGCCTCTGTGCGCGCTCTAGTTCAAAATGGAGAGTCATAAAGTACTCAAGCGAGAAAAAATGTTCCGAAACAAATTCTTTTTTAATTCTTAACAATAAAAATAAAAACGTTCTCTGCATTCAGCTGCTTTTTGTTTCTTTAATTGTATATATAATACCTCCACTCTTTTTTTACAAATAAACAGATTTGTTTTATATTTTAAGAATTTGTATTTATTTATATACCTAATATTTTTACACATTTCGTATGCTAATTATGCATTAATATAGTGATGGCATTAAGAAGTTGGTATTAGGTTTTATTACATAAAAGTTACATATTAATGTAATCTTTGGTATTTTTCTTTGCAAATGTTTTTAAATTCACGCATCGACGAAAATAAACGAAAAAAAAAAAACAAAATAAACAATACTACAACTTATAATGTACAAATAAAACAAACAAAAAATCATATACGCTTCATATGAAAGTTAAAAATTCACTGTAGTTTATAAAAATTATTAATTCGCATATTTTGATTCTTATGTATTTCCAATATTTTTTTGTGATGTTTAAAAATTTACAACTTAAACAAGTGGAGGAGGCCGAAGCAATACCACATTGATTTTCCTTGTTGCGCGCCATCTTAATATAACCTTTGTCACCCCAGGTGGTGCCCCAAGAGYTCTTTACCAACCAATAGTCTTGTCCACTGGGATCAGTGCCATAGCCCACCACCAACACACCATGATCTAATTGCTCCGCATCACAAGCAGGCTCATTATAAACACCTTCAGAGTAAAATTGGAATGATTCATGCGARGCATCGATAGCAAYGGAAACTGGACCAATRGTGGCAACAGCTTGCTTCATTTTCTCTTCATCGCCGGCTGGAATGTCAACAAATCCACGATCGGTGGCACCAATACTGRATGGATTATAGTGACAGGAATCATCAATACCCTCATATGGGTAGGATTTCTCCGTATCTATGCCACCATTATCCTTAATATAACGGAAAGCGTTATCCATTAGACCACCATTACAACCATTGTTGCCATATTTGCCAGAGCAATCGAGCAGTTCTGTTCGGACAGCGAAACTAGTTTATTTGTTTTGCGGAAATGTTGACCCTCAAGTGCGCCAGTTGTGGAGAAAGCCCAGCAAGAGGCACAGTGACCTAATGATAACGTAGGAAAATAATTATTTAAAAGTTGCAAAATCAAAAAAAAAAAAAAAAAAAAAAAAAAAAAAAAAAAAAAAAAAAAAAAAAAAAAAAAAACTTGCTTATCTCGAACTCGGCCAGTACGGAATACTATGTTCCCATCAAAAATTAGATTACATTTAATCACTTCATAATCAAGCCCGTTCTCACTGCCTTTGGACAGATGATGAATCAGTTGTTTTTGCCATTCAAGAATTCACATCACTTAATATTTATCAGAAGAAAAAATTGTCATATAGTATTTTGAAATAAAATACGTCTTCTAATTTTAATTAAATATTTTCCATATATTCGAAACATTGGATGCATTTTTTTTATTTGGGAAGTCGATTTTAAGTGAATTGAGATTCATTGCGTTTAATTTAGTTGATTGTTTATATTTTTTTCTTCTTGTGGTATCCGTACAGACACCACTTATCCCGAAATTGTTTTTTTTTTGTTTTTTTTTTTTTTACCCGACCGCCAAAGATTTCCTGCCCATATATTTAAATAGTTACCCTTTTTCCTTCGTTATTTCCATCTTCCTAATTCGCCAATTGGTGAGAGCATAGTAGGCTTACGAATCGCTAATAATTTCCCGGTCCCGCTTGTAGCTGATACCGCCAATATTTTCGGAGATATGAGCATATTTATAAGAATTTTTTAACTTACTGTATATGGTTCTCAAAACTTAAACCTGACTTTTTCAAATATTGTTTGCTGTGTCGGAGAGTTAAATTTTTGCGAATTGTTTAGACTTTTTGACTTATAATTTTTGCACGATCTTCTTATGTATACTATTTGACATATAATTATGGAAGACATACGATTTTGATAATGATTTC